TTTTTATTAAAAGTTGAAACTTAATTTGAAATCCAAAATTTTAAGATTGAAGAACTGAAAATTTATTTTTAATTTTACACAATTTTACAATTTCATAATTTTTTAAGTAAAAATTTACTTAAATTCAAAATTTAATTTTAAATTAAAAATCTTGTTATTAAAATAATTGCAACTCTGAGTAACAGAAATTGTCGTTGTTTTTTGTTGTAGCAGCGGAATTCTGCCGAATTATCAGTCCTTGTTCCGATAAAAATCCGGGTTCGTTCCAGTTGCGTATACCCGACTGTAGTAAGAAATACAAATATTTATGTTTGGTTAAGATAAATAACAAAATTAAAAAATATCAATAATTTAATTCAGCGGTCATAATGAGATGAATAGATACTGTATAAATATTTTAAAAGATTTTTTTTTTTGTATAAAATGTAAGTTATTTAATGTTTTATACAATTTTACTTATAATTAATTATATTCAAAATTACAAGTCAGTTGCAATATAAAAATATTTCCGGAAAATGCCTTCGGTTAAATGGTATAATGTTGAGAATTTAGACTGTACATACTTATTTGTATGTTATGTTATAGCTTTTTGTGTATATTGAAAAAAAAAATGCACATAAATAAAACAAGAAATAGAGGAAGAAGTGTGGATCAACAAGTAATTTTTGCAAAAAAATTTACGAAACGAACGATCAACTCCAGTATACATGTACAAATATTCGTTTAAATATATTTTGCTGTTGTTTTTATATGGATTTCGGTATATTTTTAAACAAAAATTAAAATAAAAAAAATAATAATTTAAAACGCAAGGAAACTTAAAATTGTGTTTACAAATTAAAAAACAAAATCAAATAGAATCACGATAATGCTAATAGATACTTATGTAGATTGAAGCCTTAAGGAAAATATTTTACGCAGTACATTTTATTTTGAGTCCATAAAATATGCTGCCATATGCACACTTTTAGCGTAATTAAATAAAAAATTACAAGTATTACCATATTTTAAAATCCTACATTTTCTTTCTGTTTCTTAAAAAAGCTATTTAAAACCCCTAATACTTACACCCAATGTGAGATTCTTAAAATTAATGCATTATTACGGTTTGGCTGTCACTATTAAGACTTCGGAAATACGATAGAATTATACGTAGAACAGCGTTGATATTACTTATTTGATATGTGTGCGTGTCAATGATTAGGATACACTGGGGATAGTGAGCATTTCAAAAATGTTTAGCCACCAACAATAACTTCCATTGTTGAGGATACGTAATATATGTATATGTAAGTACGAGTAGATAGTATGAATGTGTAGTAGACCGCATGAAGTTGAGATTGGCACCTATACAAACATATGTAAATATGAGGATTGCGTTACATTGCTGTGCGTCGGTGTCGGTGTCATATTTGCAGTCGTTTGCTGTCATACCGATGTTTCAGAGTTTAATTTCAGTACAAATTTATTGCTTTTTGGATCGACAACCTCTTCGGCAATATTAAAATGCGGCAACTTGTGTATGGAGACTAAGAGTGAGACATCGTTTTGTATCAGTTGGAATGTACACTCGTTTGAGACTGGTCGTGATACAAGTTCATCACAAATTAACGACCACGATTGTACCCAACGGCGTTCCTTTTCGCTTTGCAATACTGGCGACTCTGTTAGGTATGGCTCAAGGAATGCACGTGGCGATAGATCGTGCTTGAGACAATGCGCCAAGTGCTTTAATATACTTTCGAACGTGTGTCGTGGTTGTTGTCGTGTGACGCGTAAATATTTTTGCAGGGCACGTGCCATCGATGGAAATACCGCTTGTGCCGCTTCTTGCGGGTCAAGTGGCACTGCTGGTGCGGGCTCATTGTGTATGCGTTTGATATGCGTAAATGCCTCCTCTGCGGCTGTGATAAGGCGCGCACGCCGCTTTTTGACCCGGCGTTCATATTCGTGTTCCTCGTAGAAGCGTTCATTGTGTGATGAATCGCGTCGGCGTGCATTGGCCGCTAATACGGCACGACTTTGACTCTGCTGTTGTGCATTATTAACACCATCCACTTCGTAGTATTTAAAACTAGTGGAGATTTTATTGCGTTGTGATTTCGAAATCGGTATGCGCTCTAGATACGGATTAAATATCGGAAAATCTACATAATATCGTTGAAGTACCCAAATAGCTGCACGCTGTATACTCAATTGACCTAGCATATAAGAGCGGGATGTACCATCTGGTGAACGTATAATCTTGACATAATACATAGGTTGTTGATGGCGTAGTTCGAGTAAAACAACGGCAATATAGTGTATGAAGAGCAGCGTATCGACCAAATTTGTTGCGTAAGCAACTAGTGATTTGTAATTAACTGCATCACCACCTGTTTCCACCACCACTTTGGCGCCATTAGTGACCTGTAAAATTAGAGAACAATTATAAATTGATGAACATGTTCAAGTGACTGACGACTTTTACCTGCACCATATAGAACAGCCAATAAGCAAATGTGCAAATGGTGACAAGTAGCAGCACAACGGCACGATACAGGAATATTCTTGGCATAGTAGCGGCTGAGCGACGCATAAAGAGCGCCCACAAGCCGATTGCCAGTAGTATAAGTCGTGCAGTTAGTGACACCAGCAAGCCTTTACATTCGCTACTACATGCTAAGAGTTGTGTGCGCACCGTTTGCGTGAGTTCGGCGTGATCGAAGGCAGATGGAAACAAACCCATGCGTGGCATTACCACCATGGCTACCGGCGAGAAGAACGATACAAACCCTAGTAAGAGCGAAAAGGCTGATTCCAAACGTCGTCGACAAGCAAATCCAAAACTCGTATCGTTTTCTCGATGCCATGCATTATTAATGTCTTCCATAGATATGCTTTGTTCTGATGTATTTCCCGTAACTGCTGTTGTGTTTTCACCCCAATTTTCGTCTTGCGGTAGTATTTGTACCTCGATTATCTCTTGACCATCGCGATTCTCTTCACCTTTGGAGGACATTCATAATTTTCTAGCATTTCATATTGTTACGGTAGTTACCTGTCATATTAACGCTCGTTTGAAACGGTGCCATATCGCCACGTTGGTGCTTACCACTTGATTTTGTATGTCCACTACGATGCGAATGCCTTGTGCGATCCCGATGATAACCGTTATTTACAGTGCCACCTCCGCCGTTATTACCTAAAACACCGCCGCCAGTGCTAGAGCTGTTATTATTATTGTGATTGCGAGAACGTCTAGATCGTCCGCTGTGTTCTGACTTAACAGATTCGTTTTCCATTGCAAACACCGCCAACACAGCGGTCAACAACGCAAACACACACTCTTGTAGGCGTGTGCCGTCCGCTGACAACTTTTCGATCCTGACTACTTTTGTAATTAAATATTTTTTTTTTACAAATAATAGGAGGCCAGAATTATAAATAGTTAAAATATAACCTTATTTTGTGTTAAGTTGATTTGGGGGTTGTTTGGGAAAATTCAGACTTTTTTCTTTGCCTCGGTATTCGTTTTCTTGACGTTGCACTACATAACTCATGTAAAATTCCAATTAGGAGCCGTATTTTATTTAACTAAATTTATGCACCTTACACCACAAGTAATTGTAAAGCAAATTTTTTCTTCTTAACTACTTTTTAACCTATAACTCATTTCATTTTTAATTCTAAAAATTAAACAATTGGAATGGAGATGAAAAATACCATTAAAACGAAAAGCAGAAAAAACACTCCTATTTTTCGCTCAACTGAGTTCTGTTTCCCACAAGAAGCGTTGTATTTTTAATTTTCTCTTTCCTTTCTTCTTTAGATATGGCCAGAGTCATTTATTTTATGCGCTCTAAACATCACAAGAAAAATGCGATCTGGCACCCTTATTCAAACAGATGATTGTATGTTTTGTTTCGCTTGAAAATTTCTTAATTTTATAATATTTTAATTATTATTTGTTTTAAAAACAAAATGTCGATCAAAGAGTCTAAAATAATACTAAAAGAAGTTCGTGAAGACATCAAAAGTGAAAAGTTCAATGATGCTATAGAAAAGTGTGAAGTATGGCGATAAATAAAAGTACAATCAACAAGTAAATTATAATATTTAATACTGTTATTTATACACAGGCTTTGCTTAAAGATGAGCCCAAGAATTATATGGCCTATTTACTCTTGGGAGCAGCTTATCAAACGAGTAATAAAATAGAGGTTTGTATTGTTTTTATTTTATGAAATGAATACGTTTTTATATATATTTACAATTCTTTTATATATTACTTTTAGGCAGCAAAATGTTTACGAAAAGCGGTAGACCTTTCACCGGCTGCACCAACTGTTGCACTCCAGGGACTAGCTAATTGTGCACCGCTAGATGAATTGCCAAAAATATATGACCAATTAATAGGTTTAGTTCCGTAAGTTTAAAGCACAACAGTGAAATGATCAATATTTAGTAATAAATCCATACCTTAAAACCATATGAATAAATTACTTTTTTTCAGCGAAAAATCTGCATTTTATTTTGAGAAGCTTTACGCAGCTGGGCTAAAAAACAGAAGTGTTGCAGAAGAGTGTTTTAATATTTTCAAACGTGAATTAGCACGAAATGATAAAAATGAAGAAAGACATCCACTAGTTTTGAAATACTTGGCTCGATTTTGGATCTTATTTGAATTTGATGTACAAGTTGGAGATGAGTCCCTCGTAAGTTTTGAATGCGATTCCCAAATGAAATCATGTACAATACCCACCCATCGTATTTTTTGCAGTATAAAACTGCTTTGGAAAAACTAATTGCAGACCCACAAGATGATCAGAAACTCAATGCCTACAAGCGATACCTAAAACTACTGTACAAACAACAAAGTTATGCTAATTGTTTTAAGCATGCCTGTGAAGCGATCAAAAACTATCCTCTGGACATTTATGCCTATGAATGGGTGTGCAAAATTTACTGTGAATTTCGTGATGTGTCAATATCGTGCTTAAACGAAGCGCAGCAAACGATAGAACACTATGTGGATGCATTGCTACAGTTAAATTCGAATGCCAGTTTAGGATTACTCATTCGAGCCATTAAACATTTTGAACAAAAACAATTTGTAGCGGCGCGTGATCTGTTATATCGGGTACAAGAGTTACAACCGAAATATAGCGTTGCCTTAGAATTGTTGGCGCGCATAGAAATGTTAATTGGTGTATGGGGTTTGGCATTGCCAATATGGAAATCAATTGGAAAAGATAATTCCATTGAGTACGCTCTTTGTTTATCCCATGTTAGCAGTAGTGATGAACAGTTGCTAGAAGCAATTGAGTTATTAAAGAAGCTTGAACCAACTGAGGATGCAACAACCGCTTTGGCCAGGTAATTGATGCAAATATTTAGCTTTCAAACTGATTTACATGTGTATTACTTAATTCAGTTGTTATTTTAAAATGGGCGAGACGGATAAACTAAAAGAACTGAACCTAAATGCACTACAACAGGCGGAGTTTCTCTTGTAAGCATTGTTTCTATAGTTTTTAGAACAAAGTACATTTTCGGGGTAACTATTTTAAATATTTCTAGAAAGCCTGAGGCTGCGTTAAACTTTCTGCAATCCTCCGGTGATACAGAAACGTTTGATTGCCTTTTCTTACTCGCTAAATTGCATCTACAATTAACTGACTATACGTCTGCTCTGAATTGCATGCTCAAAGCGACACGTTTACAGCCTTACAGTTCGGAATGCTTTCATTATCTCGGAAAAATCTATTACATCACAAAGGATTTGGTGCGTGCACGTAAATGTTTCGAAAAATGTGTGAATTTGAATCCGCTCTGCGAGAGCGCAGTAAATAACCTGAGCGCTATTTACCAGCAACTAGGAGAAGAGGTAAAATTACGACTTAAGCACCACTTTTTCAATGAGTAAAACGTTTTTATCGGTTAAAGTTGGTATTAAGCAGAAAACTTGTTAAAAGCATGGCTAATTTATTTGTTTGAAAAATCACGAATGATAGTTGTTGTTGTTATAACAGCCAGATAATTTTCAGTTTTTTTATGTTTGTGAACAATATTCATTCCACAGGACTTGAACGTTGCGCTGTTGATTAATACGCTGAAATATATGAAAACTGAGGATTCTAAGCGCATACATTACAAGCTGGGCTTACATTACTTTAATGTTAAAAAGTGGGATGAGGTGAGTATTCGCAATGAAATAATTTGAAGGACAATTAATATTCGATTTTTTTTCGGCAGGCCATACAATCCTTTCGCACTGCAATCAAGTTTGATGTGAATTGTATGAGCTATTGGGAGTCTCTGGGGGATGCTTACTCTGAGCGTGGCTCGTATTACTCTGCCATACGCGTTTTTCAAAAAATACTAGAAATGTGTCCTAGCAACATTTATGCGAAATTGCAAATGGCGCTGTTAAAATCGGTATGTGAACAATACCACACATTTAATATAAATCATTTTCACATAACTTTTTTTCGCTTTAGACTATTCGCATGTATCCCGAAGCTATAGCCGACTTCGACGAATTATTACAAACACATCCCGATTACTTGCCCGGCTTGAAAGGTGCCGCTGAAGCACATATTGGCTTGGCGAACAATATGAAATTGGAGCACTTATATGGACGCTGCAAAGATCACCTACAATTGGCGGTTAATCATTTGCAAAGGTAATTTTAAAATCTGAGTTAAAAATATGTGCTAAAATTTTCTTATTTGACTGCTCTGCCAACAAGTGCTTTCTTGTCTGCAAACAATCAAAACATGTTTTGGTTGTGGCGTCTAACTGCAAACGTATTTGTGCAAACTGCGCGCATGCCCAGCTCTTTGGCATACTTGGAGGTGTCGGGCAAGCTGGCAAAACTGAAAGAAAACACCGCAATTTTATCTAGAAAGGACCTCTTCACGTTAGCTGCAAGGTTTGTACGACTTTTTTGTAACAACTTTGCAACATTAATTAATAATACTTGGTTAATTTCTTTCTATTTTTGCTTAACAGGTTTTACACCTGCGCCATCAAATTGAAATCGAACACATTTATCTGGTATGAGTTCGCCTTATGCTCTTATTATTACGCTATATATTTACCTGACGAAGCGTCTACACAATTGGAACTCTCAACAAAAGCCTGCAAAATGGCCATAAATGAGCAAAATGGTCGTTGGCAAAATTGGAATTTGCTCGGCGTAATAAATCTACATGAAGGTATTGCACCATATATTTGTATACCCTAAAGAGGATGTCTCTTGATGTGTTCCGTCGAAGGCCTGCATAGTGAGGCCCATATGCTCTCAGTTAAAGAGCATAATGAACACCTTTCCAAGCAGTTTCAGATAGAATGGAACAGGTTCCTAGGAGCATCAAGAGGGCCTTCCTCAACTACGTCTACGACATAAGACTTCGGACGCAACTAACTTCAGACATGCACGCCATTCAAAGTGGAGCCATTAACACCTTCCCGACTCCCTCTCGGTGGTTGGCGTACTTGGAGTCAAACCACCACTCATTGCAGACGAAGAACTTGAGTTGCCGCGAGAAACGATAGTGACCCTTGCGCAGCCTCGTTCTGGGTACTGTAGCAGGGTAAACTCGTACTTTTCGAGAATAGACCCTGAAATATCAAGCTTATGTCCCTCATGACACTAGCCACCTCTTTGCATGCCTTGCTAACTCCACACATCTGACATCCTTCTCTTTATGGTCTGACCCCGTCGAAGCGGCACGTTTTTTGGACCTACTGTTAGATGAAGTCGATGACAACTTATCTAATCCTTACCATACTAATGGAAATTAGGTACCCATTACAACAACAACATACCCTAAATAGGGTTTATTAACTTTGTGTGTCTGTTTAAATGCGTACTAGTTCCTTAGTTTTTTCATATATCAATCTGAAATTTTGAACACGTTCTTTTCTCTCCAAAATGCTACTCTTTTATGGCAACCACCGATATCTTGTGTGAAAAACTTTTTTATTTGATAATATATCTTCACGAAATTTGGCATTTATTATTGTTTAGGCTGAAATCTTGAATTGTTCAGATCGTACCACTCTAGCATACATATGTATATCTGCCACACAAACTGAACGATCAAAATCAAATTTTTCGGTGCAACTGGATTAACGGATTTTTAATGTTTTGAATTTTATTTCTATAATTTATTTTATAGCGGTCAACAATTTGCCCTTGGCACAGCACTGCTTTATTCAGGCGCTAACGTTCGATCGCAAGTCGTATACTACTTGGACGAACCTGGGTGTGCTCTATTTGAAGTTGAACGAAATAAAACTTGCGAATCAGGCATTTCAGCGGGCGCAGCAATCGAGTCCCATTTATGGAAATGCTTGGATTGGACAGGCTATGATTGCTGAAGCCATCGGTGAAGAGGAGGAAGCTTTGGATCTCTTCAGACATTGTCAACAGTTTGAATATCACGCGGAGTCCTCACTAGGTTATGCCCACTGGGTGTGCTACATCCTGACAGATGAGAAAGCGCGCAAAATATCGCATTATCGTCATGCTATCGACAGCATGTACGCAGATGTGGTGGCACTGGATGCGATTAACTGGTAATAACATTGAAATTAACTGGAAATGCAATAATTTTTGGAAACATTTTCAAACTTCACACACAAATATAGGCACATAATAAATGAGGAGAAGGGCGCCACAAGCGCTGCGCTCTCTTTCCAAGGTTTCCTCAATAT